CGGCGTGGCGCTGGGGGTGTGGGGGCTGGCGCTCAGAGGAGGGGTGGGGGTTGGTGCGGTGCTCGGAGGGGGCGTGGCTTCAGGTGGCGTGGCGTTCTGGGGGGCAGGGATTCAGGCGGCGTGGTGCTGGGGGGCGGGGATTTCGGCAGCACTGGGGGGGGGTACGGCGGCACGGCATGGCGCTCGCAGGGGGGGCAGCACTCTTCTTTTTTTGCATGGGGCAGCAAAAAAGTTAGAGCCGGCCCTGCATGCACTCAAGTGTCTCAAACACATTGATGCCTGTGTGTATTCCCAGAGCCCAGCCTCCAGCACCCACTGCCTGCTTACAGGGAGTTCACAGGGGCATGCTGGGTATGAGCATATGCAAAGTAGTCACCCCAAGCCCCTCCACCCCCAACTTGCTTGAGAATTTCACCCCCTCTCATCAGAAGCTGTGATTTGCTCAGCGATCAAATGGGGGGGCTGCCTCTGCAGCGCCCCCCATTTCCTGTGCCACAGACACGGCCCCTGGGACCCACCGGACCGAGAGACAGAGACGGGGAACCTGGCGTGGGAGAGAACTGGGAGGCGGCGGGGTGAGGAGCGGGCAGTGGCTCAGCGCGGGACGGCGTCTCAGCTCCAGCGCTGGGCACGCAGCCCCAGGTAGGATCCGTGTGGGCACTGCAGAGGGTCTCAGCAGGTTGGTCCCTGCCTGGAGAGCTGAGGGTGTGGGAAGGGGAGCCTGTCTGCAGGGAAACAGGGGTGGGAAGCTCGGGGTGGCATTGGTGGAGGGTGGGCAAGGGAGAAGGGCACCCGCGGCAGGTGGGTGGAGCTGGCAGAGTATAGGAGTGGGTCAGGAGCTGTTGAGAAGTGGGAACAAGGGACCCACGGCCCCCTCCTCAGCTGCTCCTCATAGTAACCTGTCTCCGCCCTGCCCCGGAAGGACGCCCTCTGGTGGCAAAAGCGGAGACCTGCCCGCAGAAGCCTGTGACGAAGCCAGGGGGCCGTCAGTGATATTGGGAGGGGGCATGTCCACCTCTCCAGGAACCAGCCCCAAAGCACTCAGCAAGGCCCTGGGTCCTGGCCTTCTTTAGCAGCGGGGCCGCACCGCTCGGCATTCGGGACAGGCCGGGCAGCCCAATTGCAGATTCCAGTTCCGAGAGCCCGGGGTGGGGGATGGAATCACCCTGCTGGAATTCAGCCAGGATGCTGGGGCCAGCACCCCCACCCGCCCGGGGAGCTGTAGCGACCGCAAGCTTAGGGGCTCATTTACTTCTCTTCTGCCACCTCCCAGCAGCGCGGGGCCTTGGCTGGCACGGAGCTGCCTGAGTGATGGGCATCTGATAACTGTCTGCCATCTGCATCGGCAGGACGTGCCCAGGAGCTGACGTGGGAGGGCGTCCGGTGCCACAGCCCGAACCCGGCTCCTGAGGAGAGGGGCTGGGGCCAGACCGGGCCCTGGAGCTGGAACTGGAGAACCCAGCTGGTTTTACGGGTGGAACTGAATGGCAGGGGGTGTCCTGCTCTGCTTAGGGGGTGCCAAGGGGCATCCCCATTCTGCTTGGAGGATGCAGGGGATGTCTCAGCTCAGGGGGTGCAGGGGGGTGTAGCTTGGACTGGGGACCCTGCTGCACATTCTGTGCAAACGCCGTAACACAAGCCCTTGTCTGTGTCTCTCAGCAGGAGCCCGTTAGTCTGTGCAGAACGACGACGCCGTGGCCGTGAAGGGGCTGGCTCCGACACAGGGCCCTGAGCTGCAGCACCGGGGGACGCCGGCTTTCAACGCAGCCTGACCTGGTGGGGAGAGAGCTGTGCCTGGCCCCTCCATCAGCTGGAGAAGCGGCCCTGAGCTATCCTAGCGATGCCAGGCTGCAGCCAGGGGGTGGGCAGACAGTCACAGCGGAGTGAGTGCGTACGGGGGTCACTGTAGCGTGGGTGTGGAGCGGTATGCGTGGGGGTCACTGCAGCGTGGGTGTGGGTGTGTGCCAGGGTTCACACCCAGCCACAGCTGCACGGGATCTCCCCACTACCCGGCTCCCGCCCAGATGCCCTGAGCTGCATCCGACCCCGGGCGATCTCGGTGTGTCCTGCCCCCCAGCTGCCACTCCCCAGCGCTGGCGCCCAACCTGCGAGACCAACCACTGCGGGTGGCAGCTCTCGACACAGGCAGACCCCGGCTCTCTGCTCGTGGCCTGGCTTCTGCCTTGGCCTGCCCCACGGGCACATACCCTGCTGTATTGGAACAAGTTGAGTTCACAATGGGGGAGCCACCTGGTCTGGGGTACAGCTTAAAGCACTCCCTGTCCCGAGCCTATGCTGGACCAACCTGGAGCCCCGAGCTTGGCCCGCTCTGGCCTGGGGATGCCCGGCTCTTCGCCATGGAGTTGCCCTCCGCCCCGTGGCACTGTAGCCTGCCTGCCCTGTGGCTGAAGAGAACGTGTTGTCACGGATGCACCCACCACAGCCCCTCGGTTTTCACCCCTTCCCTATGGCAGTGCCCTCCTTTTGCCAGGCCCCACCAGCCATTGGGGACCAAGACCCCAGGATCCAGGCTCAGCAACAGAGGACGGGGCGGGTGAGGGTGCAGGGTGATGTGGCACTCAAGCAAACAGCCTCCTTCGTCCTCACAGCCGGGGGGGGGGGGCCCATCCTGTGCTCTGTCCCAGTGCAGGACTCAGGTTACACTGGTGTAACTGGGAGCTGGCGTTGGTCCCGGATTCCAGCTCCTCTTGGCTTCCGTTGTCTGTCTCCTGGGTCTTTCCCGCCCCAGCGCCACCTTCCTGCTTATCCGGCCCCAACGCCCCCTGCCTATGTAAGGCCAGAACAAAGCTGGGCAAGGGAGGGCATTGTGACAGGCCCTGCTGTGTGTGTGTGTGTGTGTGTCTGCATGCGTGTGTGCGCGCGTGCACTCAGCTCCATGGGCTAGATTGGCAGACACACGCCGTGCGACCGTGCCCGCTCACTAGCACGCCTGAGTGCAGCTCCGGGGGGTTCCCCTTCAGCTCCAGCAGCAGGGGCTATGTTTTAGGGGCACGAGCTGCGGAGTTCTGGCCCCCGCCGTGCACACAGCCTGGGTTTATTCCAAACACTGACCCCGGGAGCGTGCGGGTGTGCGACCCGCGCCAGAGACCGGTCCTCTGCTCAACTTGTTCTTACGGCGCCTGGGACTGCGCTCGGCTGTCCCGAGAGAGGCCAGCTCCCAGCTGAGCTCCACAGCCTCCTCCGTCCGTCCCCGCTCGGCCGCGGCTTCACCCCTGCAGAGCTGCTGCCCGGTGTAAAACGACCGTGGTTCAGTAACAAGAGCACTCGGCGCCCGGGCCTCCAGTGCGGCTTGGGAATGGCCGGCGACAACCGTCGCTTCAAACATAGGGACAGTCGGCTCCGGAATGGCCACAGGCAGATGTCCCCGAGCGTCCTGGCGAGAGAGAGAGAGACTGCATCGCTAAGGCAACGCGCACACACCTGGCTCCAGTGGTACCTGGCCAGGCCGCTAGGCAGTGCGAGTTACTGCATCTTCTCCTAAACATCACCGCCACTGAGAGAGAGACCAGGCCTGTCCCGCTGTCCGCCCTGCCCAGCCAGCGTGGTCTGCCAGTGCGGCTGGAAGGGGCCCAAGCCCTGGGGCTAGCGCTGAGTCCCTCGGGACAACGTTCCCACAGCCTGGCAGAGCCCCGGCCTGCTCTCCTCCTCGGGAGGCTTTTGTAGGCTCTCACGCCATGGGAGTTTGGCACCAGCTCTCCCTGGCTAATTGACTTTGGCCTTCGCTCCATTACCAGGCTGCCCTGGTATTCGGCGCGGGGGCGGGTGGGGAGAACCACCCATGAAGCCGCCTCGAATCCCTGCTGTGGCTGGGAGCAGGCGGCTCCCGAACAAGCATTTCCCCCACCCCACCCCCACCCATCACCTTGTAACGAGAGCAGTGGGGGCCTATGCAGGCAGATCTGCTGGGCAAACACCCCTGCGGCTCCACTGCTTCCAGCTGTGGGCGAGCTCTCAGGGTGGGTGGATCTTCCTCTCCCCACCACTCAGCCTGAGACGCTCTGGCAGAGCAAACAAGCTGGCTCTTAGGCTGTGGGCCAGCCCCTAGAGGGGGATGGGAGCTGTGGATGCCCCGTGCATCCTCCCGTAATCCTCCTTTGTAGCATCAGGGGCAGCATCAAGCAGCATCCGTCCCCTTGCCCCCAGCCTCTCCCTCTGCATGGAACGGGCGCCCCAGAGCACAAGGCCCGCAGCCCTGGGGTAGGAGAGCTGGCGTCAGGCCATGGTATCTCACATGCTGCCTTTGCGGCATGGAGGTTAGTGACAGAGGTGGTTCCTCTGCCTCGCCAGGGCAGGACAGGCCCCCTCCAGCACCTGTGCCAGGCCTGTGAGGGGCTGCCAGGCTGCCCACTCCAGTGGTCTCTGAGCACCCACCTGCTCTAGCTTTAAATGGCCCAGGCGATGGGGTTCCCACAGCCACATCACCCTCCTGGGCTGAGCCCTCCCGCCTGCCTCGCCATACAGTCGCAGGGGAAAGTTGCGCTCTCCAAGGGGTCCCTCGCTGGCACCCCCAGACCCTGCCCAGCTGATGTGGATTGCTGTGAGCTGCAGCTGACCCTGGTACTGGCTGGCCCCAGGGGATGTGCTGCCCAGATGAGTGGAGGAAGGGCTGGGTGGCGCCTCACCTGGGGCAATAATGTCGCAGAGTCTGCATGGCTCAGGCTGTCCTCTGCTGGCCTGCCATGCTGCCGAGCCATTCTAGACCTGGCTATGCCCGGCCCAGTGCGTGGGAATTGGGAGGTGGGGAGGCGGCGGCGTGTACAGAACATCCCTTGTGTGGAAAATATTTCAGTGGGAGGGTGTCTGGGCCAGTGATAGGCTCTCTGTTCCCAGCTCTGGGAGGGGACTGGAAGTCAGGACGCCTAGGTCTATTCCCAGCTCTGCCACTGACTCACTGGCTAACCTTGGGCAAGTCACCGCCCTGCTCTGTGCCTCAGTTTCCCTTCCTTAAAGCAAGGGTAATTTCTCCCTCCCTGCTGTTGGGAGGTGCGTGGGGGGGCACTCTGGCATTGGGACAGTGTGGTAGAAATGCAGAGCGAGCCGGCTGATGATCCAACAGCATTGGCCCCAGGCGCTGCTGTAGCCATCCGAGGCCATTGCTGCGGGGTTGGTAAGGCTGCTGCTGGGCTCTGCACCCCAGCATTGTGGGGCCTCGCCCATTCCCCAGCCGTGCCAGGGAAAGCCCCCAGTCAGCATGGCTCGGGGAGCGCAGCGCAGCCCCAGGGCGGTGTGTGTGCACCAAGGGGTGGTCTGTGGGGACTTATGTCCTTTGGCCCTGCTCCTGCGCAGATCGTTGGCCAGCCTCGGTGCCTGGTTCCTGGGATGGGAAGGGGAGGGAGGAATCGGCGTGGCCGGGGCTGAATCGGTGGCTGATCCCCTGGGAAGGGGCAGGACTGGAGCCCTGCAAAACGGAAGCACCTCGTCTCCAAGACAGCTTGATCTAAACCCTATGTACCAACCCAGCTGCCCAGCGGCCTGGCTCGTCCTCCGTGACATTCCACCATGGACAGTCATAGCGGCAGCGTACAGCACCGTGCGCCTGGTTGCGTCTGCCCCTTGCTGCTCAATAAACCTGGATCTGTCTGAATGAGCCGGTGTGGTGTGAGTCTGGTCTCTGGGATCCATTTTCTGCTAGAGTGTGGCACTGCTGGGGTGGGGTGCAGAGCTGCGAGGGTAAAGGGGCACCGTTCACTAGGGCACTGCAGACCCTACGGATTCAAACCAGGGAACCCATTTGGCCTCAAGAGCTCTCTCTGGCCATTACACTGGGACAGCCCCGGGGTCACCCCATGAGGGTCCATTGGACCATCTCTGCTACAGTATAAGAGGGCAGTATGTGGTTGTTAGCTACTGGTATGAGCCCCCAGCACTGTAATTTCTAAGTGCCCTCAGTAGGTTCAAGGGTTAACGACAGCAGTGAACTCCGCTAGTGGAGACTGGCTCAGCTGCGTTGTCCTCACTGGAATTGTGCTGATTAGCACCAGCTGAGGATCTGGCCACCGGCTGGGGCCTCCCTCCTATTCAGATTCTGAGACCGGGCCCGTCACCATGGCATCTGGCCTCTTTGATCTCACAGGCTGAACCCAGCCCAAAGTGAACGGTTCTGCTCTGATGCTGAGGTGGGTTCCAGGTGTGAGGGTTTGGGTCAGGAGAGGGGGCCAGGATCTAATATTCAGATACCTGCCCAATTGCCCCTCAGCTGCTGGGAGCTCCATACACAAGATTGGGTTGGGCGTTGTCTCTGGAATGGCTGGGAGCTGTTACCACCTGGCTGGTGGGCTGCCCTCATGCGATGGATAGTGTCCTCCGCTCAGCTCCTAGTGCACAAAGGTTTACCAAAGCAGCATTGCCAATGCTCATGATTTTCGGTGCTTCTCCTAAACCCCCAGCTCTAGGAGTCCTGTGACTAGGAGAGACTCTCACCGAAAACAGGACCCAAGTGCGATTGAAATCCAAAAGGCAAAGAAAACACCCCTCAAATGTATTAGGGGTGCCCCTTTTCTCCCACCCAGGAGGCCAAAATCTGGGGGTTCACTGGGTTGCTTCGGTTAGGCTGAGACAGCGACCATATGAATCAGGGTGTTCTTGGTGTAAACTCGGATAGTGCACCCTGGCCTGCTTCTCCGGACAAGCAAACAGCAGCTGGCCAGTCCCTGGCTAAGAAACCCCCATGCCTGCCCCTCCCACCAGCCCTGTGCCCAAAAAGCCATGGCCCTGCTTCCCATCAGGGACATGCTAACAGCTGCCACCCCCACCCCCACCCCCACAGCCTGCAATTGCCCTCCAGGGAGCGGCCCCAGAGCCGCGCGGACATGCCTGCAGTCTGTTCCCGCGGGCGGCCCGGCCAGTGCCTGCAGCTGGTCTGTCCCCATGAAGGGGTTTGAGGTGCTGTCTGCTGATGAGCAGGGTGCTTGACCGCCCTGGGGCTTTCCTGACGGCTATGATGGGCTTTGGGCCCAAGACTCCCGCGGCCGGCAGCCATCGGCCCCCTCCGGCACAAGGGGAGTTTTCAGAGGCTGACGGTTTTAAACCAGCCTCGTGATCGTTGAACGCTAAGGGTGGGCCAGGCCGAAACCAGGCTCAAGAAATGCCTCCTTCCCCTCTCCCGGCCCACCACCCTTTGGCCCAACGCTGGCACGGGCAAGCCCCTGCCTTTGGCTGGGGGGAGCGTTCCAGCCAGCAGGTCTCAGCAGCACCATTCAAAAGAACAGCCTCCTCTGTGGGGGTACACTGCCCAGATGTCAGCTGGGCGCGCTGGACCCTTCCCTGGGGGAAGACCCCCGTACTCTGTGGTCCCCCAAGCGATCCCCAGCCACACCTCCAGCTTTGCCTGGGGATCATGCACTGGCCCAGATAGGCCCGTCTTTGGGGTTGTGACAGCAGCTGCTGGGGGGGTTGGTTGTAAGCCAGCCCTGTGGGGTTGTGTGTAGGGCACAGGTCCTGCCCCCCCCTTTGAGTCCGACCCTGATGAGGGGGCATCTTGTGATCAGAGCCCTCCCACTCGCTGACCCTACCAACCTGCCTGACAGCAGCTGGCCCTAGACCCGCCACCTCCTGAGTAGCGCCCCACGGCTGGGTGTGATGGAGCCAGTGAGGAGCTGGGATAGGGGGGTTAGCTCAAGCTGTTACAACGCCAGCTCATAGCAATGTGGGGTCAGTCACGGTGGTGTGGAGCTGGGGCACCTCCCCCCCACCAGCTTTGTTAAGGTCTGCACTTGTGAGGCCTTCAGCTGGGCGTTGGCATTAGACTGCGCCCTGCTCTGGAGAGGAGCACCTTCACAGCCGAGGTTAGCAGCCACCATACAAAAAAATGATGGAGCTTTGTTCTTTGGGGGAGGCAGGACTCCTGGGTTCTCTTCCTGGCTCTGCTGCTGAATCGCTGCATGAGGTAGCACCTTTCAATTTCTCTGCCGTTCTCCCCGGGCCGCTGTCGGGCAGGAACAGCTGGGTTTAATCAGCCGAGCAAGGAGCCCCGGGAGGCGACCGGCACAGGAAATTCCACTTTGCAGAGACACTGATCCCTTAGTAACCTTGGACAAAATCAACCCCCCCAGCAAATGGGGCTGCGCCGAGGGCGGCAGGGTGCCAGGATGGCACACGCTTGGGCAGAGGAGTGGGGAATGAGATCTCAGTCCCCCTCCCCATGGCCACTGGCTGCTTTTTAACACCACCGAACAGGGACTAGCCAGCGGGTCCCGGCCCAGCGAGGGCTGCGAGCTGCGGCCGGGCGCGTCCATCCAGAGCCAGTGCTGGGGACGCAGCTGACTAAGCCCTTGAGGACCCCGCATGTGTGGGGTGGGGAAACCCCTCAGCCCGGCCCCAGTGGGGACAAGGAGCCCCAGAGCCGGAGTCTGGGCGCAAGGGAGTTGGTGGCTTCCTCCACCCGCCCACAGGAGGGGCAGAGATGCCAACGCTGGGAGATCGGTGTCCCCACATGGGCTGGGTGCCCCCCTCCTGCCTCATGCCGGACATCCTGCCCAGCTGAACTCCAAATCCGCCCTGCCCCAGGCTGGTCTGCACAGGCCCAGCCAGGGAAGGGTTAAGGGGCTGACCCTGTGAGTGGGACAGCTGGCTTATAAACCCCAGGGCTTGGGGGCAGGGAAGCAGTGTGTGCTGGGAGGAGATGGCTCAGAGCATGGGGCCCTGCACTGGTGAGGCTGGTTTTACCCCCCTGGGGCTGGGCTGCCCCAGGTGGTCGGGGTGAGGATGAGCTAGTGCATAAGTTCTCTTCCTCCTCCTCCCCAGCTGGCCTGAGGAGCCAGGAGACCTGGCGGGAGGAAGGCAAAGCAGGATTGCTACCTGCTCCAGGGCAGCGGCTGGTGCCAGGTCCAAGACCACTCCCACTCGCTGGCATGGGGGTGAACCCTGGTGTCCGGGCCACGCTCTGACTCGGGCCATTGCCCCCCCCTGGCGATGGAGCACGGCATGACTTCCTGGCCTAAGCTGCGGAGCGGTGTTAAAAGTGGCAGCCGCGGCCTGCCCCAGAAGTGGCCGCATTTCAGCAGTGGGTGGCATGGTCCTGCTCTGGGGCCCTGGGGGATCCTGCAGGATGAAAGACGCTGGAGACGTCTGTTAGCGGGGAGGGGTGCTTCAGAGCTCACTGCCCCCCATCTCTGTGTGTACCCTGCTCTCTAGCAGGGGCTCTCAGCAACTCCCCACAACTCCCCCTTCCACGAGAGGTTCTGTGTTCCCCACGTGCCAGGTCCCCCAGTCCCCTCCCCCATGGCAGGGGCTCTGTGTGCACCCCCAGCCCATCACCAGCATCGTTTCTCCCGTGGGAGGCTCAGCCGGGGGTGTTAATTGGGGCCAGGCCCCAGCTGTTTGGGCTACAGCCCTTTGCAGAGGTGCTTGAAGCTGTGGCCGTACTAATGAGTTGGCAGGGGCTTCCCGCCCCCAGGGCCTGGAAACCTGGCAGGGCTGCCAACCCCTCACCCCATGGGCTGCCCTCTGCCCAGCGCTGTCTAGCCATGCTGGAGGCAGCCAGCTTCCTCCCAGGGCAAGGGGGTGTGGGCCCCCTGGAGAGAGGAGGAGCCGGGCGCCCCTTTAGCCAGGGAGGGCAGAGCAGGCCTGGGTGGGCCGGTGCTGCAGGGGACAGAAGGAGCTGCCGGGGAAGGCCTGGATGTGCCAACCTTGGCCAGGCGGGAGGCTCAGTCCGGACGCCTGCCCTGCAAGGAGGGGGCTGGGTTGGCGCTGCCCAGGACCCCCAACCAAAAGGGGGGGGTTAGCGTGGGTCTGCCCAGAGCCATGCTCACGCCCTGTGGGTGCCTCCTGCTAGTGATGGGGTGTGATAACTGTCTGACGCGGCGCAGCAGGGCGTGATCACCCCGCTGGGCCCAGGGATGGCTGGGGGCGGGCCACAGGGCAGGAGGTGGATGGGCTGGTGGGTGGCACAGCCCTGTGCCAGGGTGGGGGCAGGGCATCATGCTCAGGGAATAGGGGGGTACCAGGCTCCTAGCGCTCTGGTCAGTGGCCTTTGCTAGTTGTTGGGGTGAAGGCCCTGGCTCCTGTCTGGTCTCCCCCTTCTGCCCCCCCCCACCCACAGGAGGGGGCCAGGCATCTGGCTAGCACAGGCTGGGGAACGGGGGGCAGGAGAGTTCCAGTCAGGACTCCCCACCCCAACCTGCAGCCTACAAGCCCCCCTCCTCCCTAGCACAGCTGTCCAGGGGCAGCAGGGGAGGGGGCCCATCACTCCCTGGGGGAGGATGGAAGGGCTGCTGGCCCATACAACTCATGGTAGTGCCCCTGCCCTGGCTGGAGCTGGGCCCGTCCTCCCCCCAAGACAGCAGCCAGGTTCCAGGTGCTTCAGCAGGAGGGGGGCGGGGGCTGCACCTCACCCACCACTTTCAGGGGAGCATGATACAGTCTGCTTGGGTGCTGCCCCCGCCCGGGAGGGGCCTGCGGGGTCCATGTCCCGGGCACCGCTCAGGGCTGGTGGGTGGGTGGTGGTCCCTGCCCCGTCCATGTGGCAAAACCCCCCATCTCTGTTCACGCCGACTGGCCAAGGCCCCTCGCTGGCACGAAATCCCCTCCAAGGTGCATAAACACCCCCCACCCCTTAGGCCAATCGCAAGAGGCTGCCCAGCAGCCAGC